GGTGTTGAAAGTTTTTTTTTTTAATGGTTATGCTTATTTATTTACTTTTCATTCCTTTCAAAGGAAGTCCTTAGTGACCAGTATTTCCTCCAGCCGCTGGCAATCCTCTTGTTTACTTCTTTTGACTTTTTTTTGACTTTATTTTTGGGTCCCTATAGGAGTGATTATCTGACCCCGATACACGTACTCTGGTATATACTCAAGTTTGTTTCCGTCCAGGACAATGTCCATCTCTTTTGAGTTGGTCATTAGCTTCGTTTTTGATGTGTTTATGTGAAGACCTACTTGTTTGCACTTGCTGGCTAAAGACTGTACCATTATTTGTATTTTACTTGGGTCCTCTTCTAGCAAGATAAGATTATCCGCAGTCTTAGATGGTTTAGACGGCACCCATTTATATTGAGGCCGTATCCATCCCAGTCTAGACTTTTGAAGATATTTTCCAGTACGGCAGTAAACAAGTTAGGTGACAGTGGGTCTCCTTGTTTGACACCTCTGTCTATTGCAAATGGAACTCCTATCGTTTCAAGTTTTATACTGCTTTTACTTATGCTGTAAATGTTTTTGATGATTTCAATGTATCTGTTGTCTACTCCTCGCTGTTTTAGGGTTGACCAGATGTAGTTTTGATTCTGACTGTGGAGTGGTTTAGAGTAGTCTACGAGGATTATATAAACGGGTTTTTGTTATTTGTTGCTTTTCCTAGAATTTGCTTGATTGTGTGGATGTGATCGATTGTACTGTAGTTTTATCTAAATCCAGCTTGCTCTATGGGCTGGTTCTCGTCTAGCTGTAGTGCAATTCTTTCTAGGATATCTTTTGCGAAGACTTTGTAGATATTTGAAATCAAGCTAATTGGTCCGTAATTAATCATGCAATTAATTATTAGTTTAGTGTATGGTAATTAAGTGAAAAGGACCCGATTGTTACGAAAACTCTTATAAAAATAATACTTGAATTAGATCTTCACTCCACTTTAGCCTATTGGTCGACATGAACCAAGGTGACTGCCGCCTTGGATGATCTAAAACTGTTTAGGACTATTTTTCAGGGGTGTGTAGTAAAAATAGTGTAAGAATATCCTACTCAAATGAAAAATCGTCGACCATAAGAGTCACTGACATAACGTGTTTTTACCGTGTCTGATTCGAAATTAATTATTGTGTCACAACGAATGTTGTCATAGAGGCACCGGTTCAAGTTGAACCTGTGTTACTAACACCGTGATGGTTAAACCTTTCAATCCATAGATAATATAGATATGTTATATTTTTGGAATACAAAATTAGCTTTATAGATTTTCAACAGCTATTTGTACAGTGCTCATCTGATTATAAATAACAGCTTTTGTCTATCTTTATTAGACTTCTATAATACAAGAATAAATAGACTTATAATTACAAATTTCAAATGACCAACCTTAAGTTTTCTTAATCCAATACATAACTAAATCATAGGGTTAGTAGAAAACACAACTGTAAATGGTGACATACTATTATAAATATAACTTTTGAGGTTATTGTTTACTGAACTAAAATCAATAGTTTTAATGAACAATAACAAATGTTAAATATAATATATTATTCTAAGCTTCTTTTTAAATAATATTGTTAGAAAACGTAATAATAATACGTTAGACGCTATTAACAAATTAGACATTCTTAACTATTTTATATCTTATCATTGCCAAGCTTGTGCCATTTTTGAGATTAACGCCTGTAAATAAAGTCCAAGTGTAAATAATACAGTTGAACGTCATATTCTTTTTTCTTAAAAGATGGGAATCAAAGAATTTTACGGAAAAAAATGATAGAACGTTTTGTCATCTTGTCAGCGTGATTAAAATCCTTACCCTTGTACTTAATTACAACTTTCTAGCATTATAATACTCTACGCCAAGCCACGAAAGGACAGACGGGCAGACAGACATGGCGAGACTGTCAGAGTACCTTGTTAGGACTACGGAACCTCAACAAGAATTTAAAATTTGAATGGCAAATGTTCGTCTAAAGTAAAATATTACCTTCATGACAAAAATGTTTAACAACTAATCTGTACTACAATACGACTACCATGACTTGATGACAATCCGATATAATATAAAAGTCTAAGTTTTGTAATCATTTTAATCTTAGTAATCTATTCTAATTTTTGATATGCATGTTGTTCACTATGTTCAAGGATATTTATTAATGATACTTGTTAAATAAAAAACCGATTAACTGTAGAATAACTTTTTTCTTTTAAAAAGACAACTCCCGCACTAAGAATATTTCTTTTGTCGCGAGAGTCTTTACAGACATACATGAAACGAACATAAAGAACACCCAGACTCAGAACAACCACTTGTGGATCACACAAAGTGTTATCCATTGTGGGGATCGAACCTACAACCGTTATGATATATCCAAGACCCGTTATGGAGGATTGGCTCTAAAAGGCATCACGGGACCCTCTGATGGCGGGAGATGGCGGAGCGGGACCGGGAAAGGTTTAGAACTCTCCCGACTCGTCAGGATCGGGAACGGGCCAGGTGTCGCAGACGATCTTCGTCCTCCATAAGCGCAGGTCTGGAGGTGACAGGTGAGGCCATCTGTCACCCTAGCAGAAGCAGGCCGGGGTGGCGTCGTGACGCGTTGCGGAGAGCGCGCTCCCTTTAGTGAGCACACAGGCAACATTGGGGTTCCCATACAGGAGGGGGTCATCTACCCGCCGTAGATGGCCCGAGGTACGTTGTGGTACCAGGGATTTGATTTCTAGGGTACACCTGGTTCCCCGGCTACTAGTACCCGATTATAATGGGATGTCCTCAGGGATCAGTGCTAGGTCCATACTTGTGGAATATCGGCTTCGACGATTTTCTTGCGATACCTACCAATACCATCCAGATGTACTCTTAACGCGTATTCTGATGACGGCTTATTACTGGTGGAATCTGATACTAGGGCGGGGCTTGAGAGATTAGCCGATAGATGTTAGAACTTGATATCTCATTGGGGGGAACGTAATTGCTTCACTTTTGCACCCAACAAAACCTTCCAGCTACTTTTAAAAGGTAACCTCAAATCACCGCCATTTAATTTCACAATGTCACTGTAAAAAATATTTTTTTTGTGTGTTATTTAGGATTCGTTTTAGAAAGAAACTTTCCAATTATCGAATATATTAAAATAGTAAATGAAAAGTCTAAAAAGAGTTTCTGTGAACGAACGAAAGAAATCAAATAGAGCTCACTTAGTACCCATAATATTTTGTGGCCATGGTGCTTCCCTGTTTAAAAGGGTGTATGCCTATTTTACTTCATTTTGTCTCCCGCTTTGCTATGGAGGGAAGTGGATTTACTGTATTTCCAACTCCTCCAATTTTCTTCTGATTGATCGTTGCGTGTTCCAAGACAGTTTAATTTAATCCTGAGACTTCCCGAGTGTCATAATTCGGTGTGTTCGTGGGCCACTGCTGTTGATCCTGGTGTACAGAGTTACAGTGGTGGGCGTGATTAGTCCGTGTACCCGAGACGGCGTGCGGTATTTGGTCGGTTCGAGTCCGACATAGCCACTGGTGGGTGGTATCCGAGAGGATTTCAGCACAGAAAATAAAAAAACAAAAAGGGTGACCACTACGCCGTCCGTGCAGTCGGCATAACTGAATAACAAGTGCTTATAGTTTAATAAGTTGTTCGCCGTTTCTTGAGAAAGGAATGATAGGTGGTAATAAGGTTAAGCTAATTTATACATATGCGGGCGATTGATCGAAGTATGCGGGGGAAAATGGACAGGGCACATTTTCTTATTCTGATACTTTTGTAATAAGTCCGTTAGTTATTAGGTCAATGTTGTTATTATAGAGCACTGTCTTTTCGAAGAGCTCAAGATATATACATATTTACTTATTATATATTATTTGCTATGATAAATTCTATAATAAAATTAATGATTTTATTATTAAATTAATTAACATTGCAGTTTTACATCGATGTATAATATGCTGTTTTGTCTAGAGGATCAACTTATCTTCTAAGCGAATAAACTTTACGATGTGTTGGCATCGCGTTTATTGTTGAACTTATACTATTATTTACTAACTAGCAAATTTACTAAAAATAACCTGTATTGAAAAATATCTGTATCTATTGTAATCGCGGATGTGCACAAAATATTGCGATAATTCTATTACGCCTTTCACGTATACGTAGAATCAACGTTGTTTATATAAAATTATATAGTTAATGTGTTACATACACACACAATACTAATATTTAAGTGGTTCTAAGACGCTCGTTTTATTAGATGTTAAAATGGTAGATCAGATTCTAAAAGTGATTTATTTATAACAACAAATACAAAATATATGAAATTAAAAAAAATGTGGAACTGCGGGAGTGCCGACAGAAGTGCGAACTCCCGACACTGTTACTGTTACCGTTAACGTTGTGTTTTTGCCATCTCAAAAAATGCCCAACGCGCCTAAAGAAGTTTTCATTTCAACAGAGGTGTCGGTAACGGTAACAGTGTCGCGAGTTCAATGGTTTTCCCATCTCAAAAATGTGTTTTTTGTTAAACCTTATATTCTTACGTCTTATAAAAAAATTAAAACATAAATAGATTTTTTGGTTTGTTCAAAAATGCTCAACGCACCTAAAGAATATTTCACTTAAAAAATTAAAAAAACAGTGTTATATTCTTTTATACTTTCATGTTGGACTATAATCACATGCAATGGTCTACAGGGACTATTCAAAGATAAACACTGTTTCCGTTTTCCTCCATCTTGCCTTCTCTCTCCGATAAATATTTAGAGATCCTACTCACCAGCAGGTGACCAGTGCTAAACTGGTCCGCATAGTCTTCTAAAGGGAGTACAAAAATATTTATTAGTTAAAGAAACATCATCCCTCATGATGAATATTGTAGTCGCTGGTCACACACCAATAAAAATAAATAATGTGGAATTGAATTTTATTAAATAAAAATAAGAATAATTTCTATATTTTTTTTACTTACTTCGCATTTCTATTATCTTTTGGATTAAGTAAAAAGTACGGCCATATCACAGCTGCTAATAACGACCCGGAAAAATAAAATATTAAGAAATTAAAATAGAACTTAATTTTATTTGGACCTGTGTCACGTAACTGTTTGAATAAATACGTCGAGATACACACTATGGCAAATGCTAACACAGTATACCACATTTTAACCGACTTCCAAATCACAAAAGAGGAGGTTATCAATTGATTTGTATTTTTTTTTGTATGTTTGTTACGCGATATCTCTGCCAATTGTGAACCGATTTTCCAACGTCGGAGGTCGTATCAAACACACATACGCGCCGACCTATGTTTTTTTTCGTACTGACATAATTACGTTATCTTGCTTTTTATGTTTTATCTTGGTGGGGTTCTTCAGAACGAAGAATTAACCGGTTTTTTTGTCAGCTGTTTTGATTACTGTTTACTATCTGTGACAGATTTTGTACTATGGCAATGAAATTTATGCTGTAAGTAATACTGTTTTGAATACGTTTAAGGATTTTTTCACTGTTATGTAACCATTACACAACCTCCGATATATGTAAATTCACACTGATTCGTTATTTAAATAAAATCTATTCGTCTTTAAAATTTTGATGAAATTTCCAAATTTGAGTTATTGCCTTATGTTTTATTCATGACATACATCATCATTGTCATAATTTTTCTGTTGTTTTCCTAATTTGATCTTAGGTTAACGCAATGTAAATTGCAATAGATTTTGGCTGGTTTCCATTATCCTTGCCTCGGAATTAATACCTTGGAATGTAATCGTTTTCATACGGAACAAGGATAACGGAAACATAACTGAGACCATAAGAATGGGATAAATGCAATAGATCCTAGACTTCTTCAAGGTCAGGGTTGCGTATATCGGTCCTGTCACTGGAGAGGCTCGTAGGACTGGGATGTTTACTTACCATTTTATAAGGGAATGACAAAACAGTACTAATTAACTTAACATACAATTAGCCATGGTCTTTTAATACCCAAAAAGATGTATGTAGGCACTAATAGCTGCACTCATTAAGAAATACCAGTCTTCTTGTAGTAGGTTGATGTATTCAACCATTAATTCGTATTTTAGGATGTTATAAATAGAAACAGATAGTTTAACTGTGCAATTTCAAAACCTAGAAAAAACACAAGTCAGGAAAAATAGGTCTTTGCAGCTTGGTAACCTATAAAGCATCGGCTTGCAGTGTTAGTGGTGTCGGATTGTTTAAAATTATTTTAAAATTTAAGCAACCTAGAAAGTATTCTTGACGTGGCAAGTTCTGAAAGTGACATATTTATTTATTAGCGTACCCTTTCTGCAAATTCATTCTGCACAATTACCTCGAAGCCGAAAAAAAAATTACTATCAGGCGATATTTAGTATCCAGGGCTGTCATTCTAAGGCTCACCTTAGAATGACAGCCCTGGATACTAAATATCGCTGTGTGATTCCGTACACTAAACTCTAGAGCTCACTCTAGAGTTTAGTGTACGGAATCACACAGCGTGATACTATCTGGTATTGTCCATCGTATTATTCTGATAGCATATGTATTAAACTAGTTTGTGCAATATAATAACACAGTATTATATCGTCAATGGTGGAGATTAGAGCAGTGACTTGTTATATCTTTTATTTGGGGGAACTGGAACGAATGTAATAAAACAACTTGGTTACAACTAGCACATTTCAACGTTCAGTGAAATAATGTCTTTAAAAATTGGTATACCTATGTTTTTTCCACTTTTTGAAATAATGCCTTTTTTCTGCGTGTGAAAACCCGTTTTGGCCGTTATGTCTGTAGGGATTGCGGCGCGTTGTGGCGTGGTGTGTCGGAATCGCACCAACTGGAACTTTTCATAAACCCTACTTTCCCTGCTTATCGAACTTCGAAGACCTCGGAAAGAAAAGAAAAAGACCAAATTCATCAGAACAGTCGTTCGCCACTTTTGTTATTTAGCTTTGCCACAACATCAAATTTGCTCCGTAGCTTTTAATTGGTGAAATAATTTTTGAAATCTTTTCAGAGGTTTAGGCGTGAAAGCGTAACAAACAAACAAATAAACTCACTTTCAAATTTATAATGTAAGTATGGATTACAAAAGTATAAGAAAAGGCCAAAGAGGCCCAACTATGAACATGTTTATTACAACTATGCGATATATGATAGGCGATGTATCACCGAAACTAGGTCAATGTCTCCACAGCAATAAACGCCCGCAAGGTGTCAAATTATTAATTATATATGTCAGTATGCCATTGACAGTAAGTATAATAAAAGCTAACGTAACCAAATAAACTAAGATCTAAAAGCTTGACCCTACAGTATGCAACTAGCCTTGTACTTTACAAGCTTACAGTTTCAACGGTAGAAGATTGATCATAAAATGTAGTGCAATGTACTGATATCTTTAGTCTCAAACCAGGAAGACGTAACTCTGTTTAGTTGCTTTAATACTTGTTTGAGCTTTTCTATAATTTAATGTGTCTTAATGGTTTTCTACATGTTTTCATGGATTAGCAAATGTTCTTTTAATATTTGTAAATTATGATTAACATGATTTAAAATAACTTATTAAGCAAACAAAGTAGTTCTTCATCATCAACAGCTTCCTAGAGTCCACTGCTGGATATTGGCCTCTTCTAAGAAAGGACTTGGTATCACGTTTTCCTTCTCTTTGCAATTCTGTTGTCATGCATACTTTACTTTCTTAGTCGGCTCTTAGGGCTATATTTCACCGGGACACCATGACGGCGCAACCAGTTGCGCCACCGTGGTGTCCGTAAGCTACCAAACTAGATACCATACAGACACCAGTCGCCACACCACACTGAGACAGTATCAAAATGGACCTTGTAGAGACAGCACTACTGCTGTATGTACGTAGGAAAAGAAAGTTCAAGAGAAGAACGAAACAGTGGTGGGTTCATCCTTATTTAGCCGATCGCTGTAAGAAAGGACCATTCGTCAACATATACGACGATCTAAGAAGATATCCGGATAAGTTTTTTAGCTATGTGAGGATGTCGGTGAGGTCCTTTGATGAGTTACTGACTTTGTGTGAAAATGATTTGTTGAAGCAAGACACAATATTAAGAAAATCAATCAGTCCTGAAGAAAAGTTGTTTGTAACATTAAGGTAAGTTAAAATAAACTATGAACATTTTTAAAGTAAGTTTTATTAAAAATGTAGACAAACAAACAAGCCATGAACGTTTAAGTGCTATATAGATCCATAAGTGATTCTGAGTCCTGTGAATCATGTGTGTCGCTTGGAGAACTTGCATATGTCATTGTATTCATGGAATTATATGGAGAATTAGGACTACTTGTAATAGGTTCATTCTGATAATTCGTGTTTGTCCTATAACTCGGTCCAGGATATTCAGTAGCAATCACTTGCCGTTGCGTCGAATAACCAGGATGATAGGTCTCATGACTCACCATCCTGCCACCTGGATTAATTTCTGAAGAATTCCGAAATGACCGATCAGCATAATTAAACGTCCTGTTACCAGAAAAACCTGACGCGTCGTTCAACAAAGTTAACATTTTTATTTTGGTAGCCATTTTAACTTGAGGAGGTAGATTTTTTAATGTGCTCAACAATGAAAGCAGAAATAGCGATCTTCGTCAACCTAAACTGTCTCGCGTAGTCTCTGCTCTGTTGTCTCACGGCGTCTTTGCTCAATTGAATTATTTAATGCTTGAACAAAGGGATCATCGTCTACTGTTAGTTTACGTTTGTTTGTAACTTTTTGTTTAGGTCGCTCCCCTAATTCAGTGCTCTCCGAATTTTCTTCTTCTACACCTATCTCTCTGATAGCTACTACTTTTTGTAGAAACTGTAACTGCTTAAAATATATGTATTCGCTTTTGCGGTTAGTGGCTCCAGAACCAGACTTTACATTGTTTTGACGTTTGACTTCCCGCGCATAGCATGATCTGATGCTTTTCCATCTTTTTTGCAACACTAACCCTGGAAATATAATTATATTACTTATTACTTTTTGTTAATTACAGGTACCTAGCAAGTTGATGTACGATGAGGGAATTGCATTATAAGTTTCGTCTAGGACAAACAACATTAAGCACAATAATAAAAGAAGTGTGTGCCGTGATTTGGGATAAGTTGCAAACATGTTTATCACTTCCGGCTACTGCAAATGACTGGATGAAAATAGCTGAGGGTTTCAAAAAACATGCCAACTTTCCACACTGCATCGGTAGTATCGATGGAAAGCACATAAGACTGATTCGACCTGCTGATTCTGGTTCGATGTATTATAACTATAAACACTTTTTTTCATTGGTGTTGATGGCTGGATGTGACGCTAATTATAATTTCATTTATATAGACGTCGGTGCCTATGGGAAAAGTAGCGATTCAGCAATTTTCCAAGAAACTGAATTGTATAAGAAACTCATAAGTAATACTTTAGATATTCCAGAGCCCCTACAAATTTCAGAAAATAACCCAACGCTTTTCCCTTACGTATTTATAGGCGATGAAGCATTCGGGTTGTGCACAAATATTATGCGTCCAAACGGAGGAAACAACCTCAGTGCCGAAAAGAAAATTTTTCTCGCTCGCCGTTACATCGAGTGCACATTCGGCATCTTAACAAATAAATTGAGAATTTTCCACAGACCATTAAATGTCCACATAGAATTAGCAAATTCCATTGTGAGAACATGTTGTGTGTTACACAATTTTGTACGTTCTAGAGACGGATATTCATATGATGATACTCCGACAATAACGGGCTTTCAAACTACAACACAGCAAAATTTCAATAGAGGAGGGCGTGCGGCTACTACCACTTGAGATAATTTTACACATTATTTTGTAAACGAAAACCTACTTCCATGGCAAAATAATAATAAAAAAAAAAAAAAAGTCAAAATAATTATATTCATTAATAAATACATACACAACTTACAACGAGCTTTTGGCTGTCCATGTTACACCAGAATCATCATGAACATTTATTGATTGATAAATTCATTAATACAATTATATGTTATTTACTTACCTAAGCTCTTTTTTTGTTCAACGGTTTGCTCCTGTTCTCCAAACAAATCTACAACTTTCTCCCAACATTTCTTTTTCAAATCTCTATCGGAATAATCTAATGAGGAATTATCCCAAATTGATGGTCTACTTATAATTTCGATAATAAACCTTTCTGTATCGAAATTATCCATCGTATGCAATTAACAGACAACTAAAATATTAAAATAAGCAGTTAAAAAAAACATAACAGTGCACACGTGCTGCATGCAATGAGGTGGGGGCGTCACTGGCGCCCGGACTGGCGGTCGAGTGAGTGAGACACCATACAGCGCTATAGTAATTAGTGGTGGCGCGACCAGCGTGGCGGCGCAACCAGTAACATTCTGTGCACGCGTCCGAGCTGGTCGAGTCCGTTTGGTCGCGCCGCCAAATTGGTTGCGCAACCAAACGGACACCAGGTGAGTAACTCTCTATAGAGCTGTATACATTTAATTAATATTATACTAAAGTTATCGTACATAAGATATAGAAACTTTATAAATAAATTACTGAGGAAACTAAAAATTAGTTACCAACAAAAATTATTGGAGACAGCTCAAAACAATGTTTGGGCTACGTGGAACGCTATAGACACAACCCAAAGCGTCAATCGCTGACACTCTCTTGAATATCAAGGAGAACCCAACACTGTCTGTAAACGCAGTCAATGACTTCTTTGTAAGTGTGGGCCAGGATCTGGCAGCTAAAATAAACACCTCACACATACCAGTGACCACACCTGATGGCCGAGTGGCATCAATTAGCACAAAACGTGACTCATTTGTGCTACTCGACGTTGATAGCGGTGAGGTTGAGCTCTTGATCAAATCTTTACGCAGAGATTGCGCAGTTGGTCGAGATGGTATCTCGGCTGCTATAATACAGGATTCTGCTAAGATCTCACTTGTCACACATATCTGTCGGCTTTCATTTTCAACCGGCGCTTTCCCGAACATGTTTAAGAAAGCTGTAATACGCCCTATTCACAAGAGTGGTGACGGAGATACTGTCAATAATTATAGGCCAATTTCAGTTTTGCCCGCAATGTCGAAAGTGGTTGAAAAGGCTCTAAACAAATGTCTGACGAGTTATTTAGAGTGAAAACACATCATATCACGTAACCAATTCGGCTTTAGGAAAGGTATATCAGCTGAGGATGCTGTACTAAGTCTAGTAAATGATATAGTCGACGGTTCGGACGGTAAAAAGAAATGTCTTGCCATTTTCTTGGACCTGTCTAAGGCGTTTGATACCGTCTCCGTCCCCATTCTTGTGAGAAAGTTGGAAAAAATCGGCATAAGAGGAGTGCCGCTTAAGCTGTTTTCGGATTACCTTGTAGGTAGGACACAAGCCGTTAAAATTGGAAATCACATAAGTTCTGAACAAGTTTTGGACTACGGCGTTCCCCAGGGGAGTATTTTAGGCCCAACATTATTCTCCATCTATGTTAATGACCTCTGTGAACTCCATTTCACAAATTGCAATATTTATGCATATGCCGATGATACGGTACTCCTAATAAAAGGTGCAACCTGGGATGAAACAAAACACCACGCTGAAACTGCTCTTACAAAGGTTCAGGCCTGGCTAACAGCTAATCTCCTTACACTAAACTTCAATGAAACCTGTTTCATGACCTTTTCACACAAAACATCTATGCTGCCACCTACAGACACTTATCAAATTAAACTGCACACATGCATCGATCGCACTATTAATTGTAACTAGTGATGTGCCGGATCGTTAACAAAGTATATCCGCGGATACGGATCCGAATACGGATATTTGGTGTCAAGATCCGCGGATACGGATACGGATACGGATCTTAAGTTTCTTACTCAATCGGAGCCCGTGACCTTGATAGTTGTCCACCGTAGTGTGCCACTTGTCGCTTTGCCGTTGATATTTAAATATTTCATTATTTTAATAAGCTAATACAAAGATGTTTGATTGATCTCATTATAAAGATAGCTCTTTCAGTACCTGCCTAGTTGATTTAGTATAGTACGATAAATGATTGCAATACAAAGATGCCAAATATTTGTTTTAAGAAATAAAAAGTAATCTGAACAGAATTCAATAGTTTTACATAGCTACCTAATAACCATTATTCAGGGTTATTTTAAATTTACTGAAAACCTCTGAAGTGCATATTAGTAACATTATAAACAACAACTTTTCTTCTGGACTAACACCGAAAACGAAAGAAAAAAAATTGTTTCTCTATACAAACTAACAACATTTGATTGGTCATTTGAATGGAGGACCAATTTTTTTTCATTTTGACCTTGGCCAGAAAAAAAGTTGCTGTTTATAGTGTTACAAACACATACCTAAGAGTTTTACAGTGAATACAAAATCACCTATATAGAATTTCATATATGTAATATGTATTAAAAGATCCGCCAAAAAAGTCACGGATACGGATACGGTTACGGATCTCTCTTGTCCCTTGGATATCCGCGGATACGGATACGGATACGGATATCCGGCACATCACTAATTGTAACTGTGCAACTATCTCCAGGACTTCCCTGGTTTAGAATCTGGGTGTCTACATGGATCTGTTCCTAAAATGGAAAATACATATTAATGATTTAACATCACGAGTCAGGAAACTGATCTATGTATTTAAAACTACTCGAAGTTCAGCAGACCTTAAAACGCTCACCATGACCTACCAGGCACTTGGTCAATCAATAATCTCCTACTGCATTACCTCTTGGGGTGGTGCAGCAAAAACAACTATGCTTCCACTGGAGATTGCCCAGAGGGCTGTCCTCAACGTCATGTCTAAGAAGAATTTTCGGTACCCAATCAGTAACTTGTTTAAAGATATTCCGGTTCTGACAGTGAGGCAGCTCTTTGTGCACCAAACTGTTGCCAAAAAACACTCAGCAGTAACATATGATCCAGGTCTTCACACAAATACACGTCGACTCAATAAAATATGTCCCGCAATCCGTCACAACACAACCCTGGCAAAACGACACAATAAAGTTATAAGTAGTTTTCTTTATAACAGAATCAACAAAATTCTCAATATATATCCTCTGAATAAGCAAAAATTTCACCGAACTCTCAAAACATGGCTACGCACCTTAAACTATGCAGAAATAGAAAATTTGTTTAAAACTCTGATCTGAAAATATATGGGTAGGATCACATTCAACATACACACTCTCGTATACACAACCACGCTTCCACACTCACTCATATACACACTTGCTTACTCTCTCTCTCTCTCACACACGCACACGCACACACGCACACACGCACATGCAATCTCAACATATTACACTAAATACACTTGATATGGCTCTCTTAACTATATTTGAATACGTTTTTATGTTTCGTTTTTCTTTAAATCCATATCCTAGTTTTAAGTATGACTGGATCCGAAATACAGGCTTGCCTAACATATGGACCCAGTCTTGATGTAGTAACTGTAAACATGTGCCAGCTGTTACGACTGGGAGTACGCTTCCATGGCGGCGTCCCTCTACTCGTAACACAGGTTTATTCCTAGCACGAGAGGGTGGCCCTGCTGTACCGTGGCGGCGACTACAGTTGATTACGTCAACATTGTCACAGTAGTACAATAGTCGTCTATGTACTCTGTTTATAACTCTTAGTGAAAATAAAGTATTATATTATATTATATTTTGTTGGTAGCGGCGACTGGTTGCGCCGCCATGGTGTCCCGGTGAAATATAGCCCTCACGACACGGGATCAATAGGGGCGGTGACACACCGTATTCTTAATCTGTTACCCTACGGTTTTTTATAGCAGTAGTGGAATAGCACGGATGCTATTGAAAAGGTTATGCTCGGCGTTTCTCTAAGGGATCGCATCAGGAATGAGGTGATCCGGCAGAGAACCAAGGTCACCGACATAGCCTACCGGATCAGCAAGCTGAAGTGGCAGTGGGCTGGCCTTATTAGCCGCAGAACCGACAACCGTTGGGGACAACGATTTTTTTGAGTGGAGACCGCGTCTCGGCAAACGTAGTGTAGGACGCCCACAGGCCAAGTGGAGTTACGATTAGCGCAAGATGGCTGGCAGGAGCTGGATGCGGAAGCCCAAAATCGATCAAAGTGGCGTGGCACTGGAGAGGCCTATGTCCAGCAATGGACTGCGATAGGCTGATGATGATGATGATGAGAATAGCACCCGTTAGGAGTAAAGTTCTTATTTAAGTCTTTGTTTTATTATTTTAAAGTAGTCTGCTAAGATAGAATCATTTTTTAGGTTGCGCGATTTCCACTTCCATGTCTTAATCAGATATATTTCATAAGTTATAAAGAACATAGTCAATTGAAGATAGTAACGACCAATTGCTTATAACAGTTCTATTTACATTACTCGTACAGTAGACGTCACGTAGAGTGCCGAAGGATGTGGATGTGAATGTCGCACTGGTGAACGAGATTAGTATAGATGAAGTCAGATTGGCAGTAAAAACCTGAGGGTGCAGGCACGACTCCTGTCGCCTGTGCCTGTCGGTGGGGCACGTGGGAATCCAGTGCACGGCGGAAGTCACCGTAGGTGATCTCTGCTTCCGATGTGGCCAGCCCGGTCACATGGCGGATGGTTGTAAGCCTGCCGACTACCGGGTTGGCAGTAAGGCATGCGCCGAATTGGGATCCGTCTTCCGCCCATAGGCTGTCGATAGACAAAATGGCTGGCGTAGCGGCGGTGTTTGGGGATATAGCGGTCGTGGCCGCCTAACCGAGACATAGCCGAGTACGAGCAATGGCTCGCTCAGCTAGCCTGTCGCCCCCACCCGGCGTCGTGTCCAAGGCTGGCGCGTCGTTGTGGGGGAGGAGACGGGTTCGGATCATCGATATATTCGGTTTGACGTCTTTGCCCCTACGAGTGGCGTGCTAGTCAGACCAGCTTCAACCGAGTCACTTTGGGCGCTCAAGCGCATAGATTGGGAGCGCCTCCTTTAAGCCGCCATCGTACAGACCTGGGTCCCTGCGCCCGATGGACCTGTAGATGTTGATGCCGGGGCAGAGTGGTTCCGGGAGGCCCTGACTCGCGTCTGCGATGCGGCGATGCCTAGGGTTCAGACCAATATCGCGAGGCGCCGGGTCTACTGGAGATCGCACAGCTACGTCAAGCCTGCGTGACCGCATGCTGCCAGTG